ACAAGCATTGTATTTATCATTAAGTTCTGTGAATCCGTGCTTCGATGAAGAATCTATTTACAGATGTATGTTCTTGCATTGATGAAGACCACAGTCAATATTTAACTTCCTAGGTTTGAAAGACCATTGATGGAAAAATCCCATGAATCTGAAATAAACTCAGGAAAATCAAAGATTGTTGACTGGGGCTTGTAATGACCCTCACTGTACTGCAGAACAGTTTGCTGCTTTTTGACCAAAAGGCTAAATTTTTTTTGTTCCAGATCTTTAACTACTTTTCTTCATCTCTTCCTGATTATTTCAGCTGCTAATTCATTCAATTACAAAACCTTTTTTGTCAAAGTGGGTCTCAACTCCAAGTCCAAAGACCAGCTCACCAAAGTCTTTGGAATTCTTGACCAGGACAAGAGTGGCTTTATCGAGGAAGATGAATTGGAGTAAATAAAAACATGAGTTACCACAAGCTTGTGTTTTATTGTCTAAAAATGCAGGATAAGATCAGAAATACTCCATTTCCTTCTGTCTCTTTGGATGAGAGACAATCGTGTGTGTGTGTGTACGCATGTGTGTGTGCTTGTGCTGAAGGAGCTGCAAGAGAAATAACAAAGGAAAGGCTGGATCACAATGAGAAAACACTCTGATAGCACTGAAATTACTTGTTTCATGTTGGGATAACTGACAGACTGTGAAGATAAAAATAGCAGTTCTGCTAGAGTTTGCTTTTTATTATTGCAAGATTTTTTACTAGACTGAATTCAAAGGGCTATTTTTCTCTCATCTTTCTATCACATGAATTCTATCTTTCAGATCATATTCATCTGACTTTGAAGTTGAAAAGTAAGGTTAGAAATATTCTTGCCACTCTTAAGAGTCTACATCTTAGGAGGAAAGAAGGAAGATAACACAGGAGGGGAGATGAATCCTGCCACTACAGAGTCAGTTTTAATTTTGCCTTTCTAATCCAATCATCAAGGATTTTTACATGTTGTGATGCAACATCCTCTTAGTTTCTTACCCTTATTCTCATTGAATTTAGAGGAAGTTTTGCCATTGAATTCAAAATTATTTACAAAGAGCTTTTGAAATAGTCTCAATAATTGAATCGGGCTTGGAATTTTACAGCTATTACCAATAACAAACTCTGAATGCTTTTGGTACTGAGTATGTCTCACTCATTTATCCTCTCACCTTTAACAGACTTTTCCTGCAGAATTTCTCAGCCAGTGCCAGTGCTTTGACTGATGCCGAGACCAAAGACTGCCTTTATTAAACAGAGTAATATCTGCCTTTGAGACTTCCTAATGGCTAGCTCTACGCAGCTGCCCTGCTCCATACACTGGATGTTATGGATCTGATTCTGAGGTGCTCAGATCTGTTCTGTATTGTAGAGAGGATCTAACATAGGAGCCAGTCTATATTCTGCCCTTGGCTACAGGTGGTCAGTCCTTTTTTTCATCTACAGAGGTTTTTTCAGGACTGGAACCTAAATGGATATATTTATAAAATTTCAGTATATACTGCTTTTTACTATTGAACTAAGGTACAACGTGATGCTTAAATGCAACACTTCCTTTGTCTTAAGTATCTGTTACTATGAGTAGACAATCTGCTATCTTTAAGGAATGATTATCAGAAAAGTATCATTAGTTTCCCATTTTAACTCTAAAAATTAAGAAAGTACTTTTTTGACTGTTTGACTACAAAATGCGGTCCCACTTTATTATTCTTTTATTTCTTGTTCAGAGTTTCAAGCTCTGGTCAAATATTAACAAGCAGTCAAGATAAAGACTGAGATATTTGTGCCATAAACAACCTTTCCCATTGCAAGCCTACTATCTATTTACACATGAACAATTGCTGGCAAGTGATTTCATATTGCTGGAAATCATCTGAAGTAGTGCAAGCACTACTTAAACAACGTTCCCCAATGTTTTAAGCAGAAGGTCTCTATACCACTGGAAGACTGAATTGGAATCCACTCTGCTCATCTGAATTTTGGGCATTAAAAATACTGGTAAAAATATTAAGAGACGGAGAAATTAAAAGCATCTCTATGGACCACTTAATTTTCGATATTTGCATAAATAGCTAGCACCTGCTGTAAAAAACTAGAATTAATAAAATGTCCAAGTGTAAAACCTGGTTATGGCAACTGGTAATGGTGGTATTTAATGAAGAGGTGTATTTAATGGTCCATATGTTTTTATGTCATTCTTTATGCAACTGATTATGTCTCATACACTAATTAAATAGCAGGACCTAGCACTAATTAAGCTGTCAATTTTAATATAAGATCAACTGATCCAAGATGAATCTACATTACTGAAATAGCATTACATTCAAAATTCTCCAAGGAATCACTCACCTTCCTGCCCACCTGATGGCACTGTTGTTCCAATTACAAGAAGTTAAGCCAGTATTCTATCTCCCTGAATTAATTCAACTCAGAACACTACTAGTATCCCAGCTGCCCACTTCTGTTGATGACTCAGTTTTGCCAGATTAAATAACCTCTGAACACAGAATGCTAACATTTTGTTTTCCAAAGGAGGGAACACAATGCCTCAGATCTTGGAAGCAGGATGGAGGCCTCAGGAAAGGTCTGCAGTGCTAGTTTGCAGTTGGAGAATAAATACCTTTCGTTGGGTCCACGTTGCACACTGAATGTCCTTCAGTACCGTTCATATGGCACTTAATATCCACCATACCAGCTGTACTTGGCAAGTTGCAGACCATGGCACAAGAGATACAAAGGAGCAACACATGGGTCCACCAGCACAGAGTAGGAGTCAGGAGCCCAGAGTTCCCCCCTCTGTCAGTATGAGACTTGAAGGTCTGCACACAGAGTGCCAGAACAGGGATTTGGTACCCTTTAATCATATAAACACAATATATGCTAAAATGACTTCTTGCAAAATCAATGTAAAGAGTGCTAATTCGTACCACAATTCTAATTTGTTTATTTTGCATGGAAGTCTTATTAGAGAAGATCTGTTTTTACAACCCTCATAAATGCAACTGAAGGCAAAGGGAGCTGTGCCTTGGATACAACTGGGTGAAAAGCACTTTGAAAAATCAGTCCCTGGTGCTCCATAATGGCAAATTGGGGCATGTTGCCCCAATAATCAATGTTCTGCTGCTTTTCTCCATCTCAGAACTGAGAATAACATGATGCCCACATCTCACAGGGTTGTAAAAATAAATGCATAAATGTTTGTGAGGGAAGTACAATAAAATGAAGAGCAGCATAAAAAAATAGCTGAGAAATTAATCTTTTTTTCTTTACAGACAGATTGAAATAGCAAGCCAGAAATAAGGAATGAGGACAATGCAAAATTCTGAACAATTGCTCATTAACTGAAGTTCATCCAGCTTGTGCACTGACTAAGTTAGCCTTCTGGTTGAAAAGTAAGAGTGTGATGATGTCATCGTGATTTGGTCACAATACAAACACACAGAGCAATCAAATTAGGTTACAAAAATGAACTAATTGCTAACAGTACCTAACTAGACATGGGGTTTTTTAGGCTTGCATATGTAATAAAAATAAACACACAACCAAACAGCCTTTTAAAAAACCTAGATGACTTCATCCAGAACATTATACTTTCAACGTGACAGTTACTCCTATGCACTCTTTTCAAAAAATCTGGATCTCTGTTCTTGGGCATTAATCTTGCAAAAACCTGTACAACAACTGTCTCGTACTGTGTTTGTTTGGAGCTATTTATGAAGATGTTTCAGTATTTGCAGATCAAAATTCTTCATTTCAAAATTATCTCCTAATGCAGATGGTTCTGATGCATAACACATTTACGATAAGACATTATGGAGAAGGAAGGAAACATCAATACAATGTTGGGGAAATCATCATATTACACAAAATCAAAGCAATCTGCAAGACTTTAATGAACACTCAATAATGTGCCTCATGCCTTGCACGTTAGCCAAAAATATATTTCCATTAATTCTAATGAATGAATCAAGCCCTAATATTGTAGAATTTTCCTTAACAGTGAAAAAAGAATTATCCCTTAAACAAATTCACATTTATGATTTCAGTGTCATCTCAGGAGACCAATAAACAAAGGAAGTTCTGAGGAATTGCACTCTGATTGCAGGACTAAAAGCTCACATTATTGTCAGAAAATGTATCTCAGCTGATAATGATAATATTTTATATTTTCACCATGTAATATGGGTCACCTGAAGATCTTCGAGCATTGTACCCATATTAATGGCTAAATGAGAGACAAAAGCACAGACAGCTCAGGTAACTTTTGAGTTAGCCCAGGCAGCTCCTTTATTTAACCACACTTACTTCCACACCGATTAGCCTGCTAGGTCTACAAATCTAAGACAATTTCATCACTTACCATTCCATTAAGAACAGTAAAAAATTAATGACAAGGTTAGTCTGATATCAGCTACAGTGATCACTCCAGAAAGTTAAGAAGAGCTTGTGACTAGAGACACTTCTAGACCTTTCCTTCTTTCAGTATTACCACTAAGCAGATTGGTGGAGAAAATGCTGTTTTCTATCTACAAGAATACACTTTCTTTTCCTTTCTGTCTCATTCACACAGGCTGTCAGGTACTGTGAAATTTCTGTAACTGCTTATCCTGTGCTTTAAGAAAGCTCTTCAAATTGTGCCTGTAAGGTCACAGCTGGAAAGACTGCTGCATTATCATAAACATGCATTCCCACACAGCTCCCTTAAAGTGAAGAACACTCTTCTGGAATCATAAATTTGGAGGTCTGAGACCATGGTCTGTATTTCGAAAATGTTTCTATCCAACCCTTTCCACCAGAGCCCCTAAATATGTGGTTGCCTTTTGTCAACAGAATTTTTTCACATGCTTTATGCATATGTTTTAAGTGCTTGTCTGAATCTAGACACCTGCTTCTCCTTTATTTAGGCTATTTCTGTTAAACAAGTGACTTCTGATGATTACTTATGATAAGGTTAGCTCGAATTATAGGGTATTTTTACTTTATACCTCACTAAAGGTTATACATCCTCCTACTGCTGAGATTAGTGGCATAAATCCCACTGACATCAATGAGGACAGGCAGTGAATATAGAAGTAGTTGGAACCACTTCAGTGCTGTTTGCTTTATTTTACCATGACTTCTTACACTGTGGGTCATAGTGCCTTTGGTAACAGTATAGTTACATATCTTTTACATGTCACAAAAGGCATCATCCAGATTATTTTGCAGCCTCCAACCTTAGGGCATAGTTATTATTCTTAAAATACACAGAAAAACTGAACAATTTAGACTTTTAAACATCACTCCATCTGACACTATCTATAATGCTGACAGCAGACAGAAACATCTTAGACGATTTCATTTAGGGTCAGAGACAGAAAATTGTGTTGCTGAGTCACAGAAGCATTTGCAAGCACATTTAAATACAAACACAGAGCATATAAAATGCTAGCAGAGATCTTCCAGGACAGCTTAAGTGAAAAAATATCCTGATTAGAACAATCTCTATGAATTAGCTATGCTATTAATCAGTTATGTGAGTCTATTCTGCTATCATTTTCAAACAGAAATCAATCTCATTGACACAAAATGATAAGGACATAATTTAAACTGGGGAAAATACACAAGACATTTCTCCTAACATAAGGGAAGTACCTGTCTTTGTTTAGCTCCAGACCCACAATGCTGCAGGATGTATCTTGCACCTTGGATTCTACAGTCCAGATCTCTGCTCAGTGCTCTGGGTAATATCCTCTACTTGCTGCAGGGAAAGAAAGCTTTGTCACTGGAGGCTTCCAAGGCCTGGATTTCATCCTTCATTGTAATGATGCACAGTACCAAAAAAGTCAAATACTGAACCGTGTTCTTAAACTTCTCTGCTAAATATGGTAAAAGACTATGGCCCAAGCAACCATTCAAATCACATTCTGTAATTATTTATATATGATTAAAGCATGTGCCTTAAGAGACAACTTGAAGTAGCAGGATATAACTCATTTTGTTGTTAAGGCCCTTTTCAATGATTATAGCTATATTCACACTATGATTCTCTGACATCGCCATTGAGACATCAACATTAATGATCAACCACATAGGTTACTGAGTATTTTAGTTACTTTCAAACTTATTACAAAGGCAGAATCTGTCATGCAGGATCATGATACAATTGCTCTGGCCCTAACACAACCAGGGCTGAAAGATGAAGTTGTATGGGTTTTAAAACAGCTGCTGCAGCATCTCTTTACACTACTGTAGCTGGTCTCAGGTTAACACCTCTCCTCTGATCTCACCTGAGACAACTGCTGATGTTTCTTTTGCATCTGCTTAAAGTCATGTCTTTGGTTGATTGTCACTGCTAATGAACGCCATACTTTATGCTAAACAGAACACAAAGAGTACAAGACTAGTCCACAACCTGTCAATGATTTGCCAAAACACAACTTTCCTCTGCTTATTAGAGAAGTACTCGTAATTACTCGTATTGATTTGAACTTGGTGCTTGATTTTAAAACAGTTGTTTTATATGTTTAGATTCCCTAGCAAGGACTTACTAATATGAATGTTCTGTACTTCTCAGAACTACACCTTCAAGTTTAATTCTGGAAGTCTAAAACCAAAAAAAATGGCTTTAATATTCCTGTAGATGTTGTGCATAAAGACACCTTGGGGGAAAACAACAGAAGTTAAGTTATACAAGTACATAAATCTTCAGATTAACAACTCAATAGCACTTTCAGATGTCCTAGTAGAGGGGAAAAAAACCCAAACAAAAAATAAATTAAAAAAATTGATAATTTTTCTTTAATTTCATAAGAACAACTGCTAAACATTCCTGGAAACTGTACAATACTCAGATTCTGTACCAGATTTTGTACTATTGTTAACTGCCCATTAGCTAGCAGCTATTGTTCTGGCTGAATTATTAGGTATTTTCTTTTTAGCATCACATTGCTTGCATAGTATCTTTCAGAAAATTGCTTTCATACTTCTCAGTTTTTGAACCCCTAAAGTGATTACAATCACCTAAGCTAACACATACCCCAGATGTAAGGAAAACAGGCAGATAATTTAGCTGTAAAATAGATTATCTAATGAAAACATCCCTTTATATAATATACTCATCCCTGATTATTTCATTCTAATTGTAGTGGAGGGAAACCTGTACTTCAGATGAAGTGTCATTAATAAATAAATAAAACCCAGTAACCCTAGATTCCCACCTGTATCAATATACAGTGACATCAACTTGATTCTGAAATTCAGCTCTTTTAGGCTTTTGTAAACCATCTTTCAGCTAGGATTAGAATCACTTTTGTTGTCAGTGTTGAATTTCAAACATTAAAAGATCCCTTCGTAAGCATTGATAGTGAAATTATTGTAGCAATTATCTCACTTTTATTTGACATATTTAAATATAATACTAATTTCTGGCGACTTTACTACTTTTGATTACATGTAAAAACAGTTCAGCACCCTGTGTGCTGTAGCAGAGTGTATGAAGTAACCAGATGCCATTCTTTGAGCATTTGGTGCTTATATTTTAATATTATGCCTGAATTGGTTGAAGACATATTTTGAGCTTGAATATTATATGCTCACCTTGATCTTGTCATTTTCCTTTACTTCATTTCAATTTCCTCATTCTCATTAGCTTTTAATAATTAGTTTGTATGGCAAGTGAAAAATTTAAACAAAGCAAGCAGTTCAATGAGCAGTGTCTAGAAGCAAGCAGAAATAAAGGAAGCCTACTATGAAGTAACATCTTTAAGCTTTAAAGCACTATCACAGAGGTCTAAAAAACCCTCTTCCCTAGAATCATCTTGGCAGTAAAAATGTCAAGAGGAATCAGTAAAAAAACCTTTTGTCAAAACTCTCATAAATTTGAGATGATCATAAAGGAGAACATTCACAACAGAGCGCAAAAGGATGAAAGCTATTTCAGGATGATTCTGCAGAAAGGACAGTATGCGCTTCATTCCCACTGCCACTATCTGATAGATGTAATATCATCCAAATCTCAGACAGAAAGCAATATGAATATTTAGGACTGAACGAAGAAGATAAATGGAAAGAACACCAAAAGACCTGAGATCAGATCTTCAACAAAACAGCATTGTTGAATTTGTTTTAATCAGACAATACTAATTTACAACAGCCCACGGTTCTTAGGTTTAACAGGAAAGTGTTCTTCCAGATTACTATGAACAGGTTTCCTACTGAAAGAGATAGAAGAGAACATTCTTTCATTACTAGACAGCTGAAATTTGGGATTAAAAGTAAGTCTGATTATTTGTGATTTATGCCACCTTCTTTTGCATACAAAAGAGATAGCAAAAAAGGTGAAAGTACCATTAAATTATGTCAGCTTTTTCATGTTAATTATACCTTGTATTTCTCTATCCAAATTCAGACAAACAGGTGCTATGGAACAATTGTTATGCTTGATACTTTTCCCACTGTCATTAAACCAAGCAGGAGTAAACCCACTGTAGTCCATTAACTTACACCAAGGCTTAGATACATTACTACTCTACTCCACAGCACCATTTGTAATTTTTGCTACTATAAAAATATTACTTGATCAGCATACCATGCTATTTCCATTCATTAAAAAATAAAACAATGCTCATGTATTAGGAGAACATTACTTTAGATACCATAATAGACTGTTATACAATAAAATCTAACCAAAATACACGTTTTTTATTGGTCTTCATCCTAGAATTTTGTCCACATAAACTCCCTTAAAGATGGAAATAGATTTTTGTCTGAGAAAGAAAACTTTGTATCTGCTGTTCCCAATTTTCTTAAGTTTTTTTTCCAAAATTAATGCTCTTGAAAAAAATAATAAACCCCCACTTGTTTAGACCTACAATTTTAATTTCATATTAAGGAAATAGATTGTGAGAGCGTGTGTTGTAAAATGTATATAAATCTATCTTCACACTAACAAAGTCTGATTCCTACAACTTCAAGTAAGTCTATTATTGATTTAATGTAATTTAAAATATTCAAAATAGATTATAAAGTAGGCTACCTGATTATACATAATCTTCCAAGGAACACAGACAAGATTAGCTTATTCAGCTTTACCTAGTTTCAGAGTTTTGCTGTCACTGGAGGCATTGGTTTCTGTTCTACCCCTAATCAGGGACAGCAACTGTCATTTAGAAAATTATCAGGAAATATGAAATTAATCTTAATGTAGAAAGATCACCCCAAATTCTAGCATGCTTTCCTCTATCTAGTGACAAGTTATCTTTGTCAGAATGTCACATTGTCGCCTCTGATCTTTCATCTCCAACTTCCTTTATACATTCCAAAGGATCAACAGACTTAGGGAAACCAAACTAGTTTCTTTTCATAAGGATTTGATTACTGGAGTCATCATCCAATGAGCAACTTTAAGGTCCCGAGGTTAACTGAAAATCTTTAGCATACCTAGAGATTGAAAGGCTACATTTTGATGGCAGAGTTGTACTTAATTAAGCACAAGTGGATTTATTAAAAAAAAATGTTCTTCTTGCACATATTATTTTAGGATATAAATAGAAAGGTTTAATTAGTTAAGGAAGAAATTTGAGCTAGGTCTCAAATCAAACATTTGATCCATGAAACAGTAACCTAAGTAGTGGTTATTGTCACCTTTTGAATCCTTTATAAGCCAGAGTGGCAAGCCAGAGCCAACATTACTATTTTGCCTGGTATCTCCTCAGCTATTTTTCCTTTACCTAGCTGAGAAAACTATAAAGGTGAGCAGCTGACTTGAGATTAATTAAATTAAATTACTGTGCAGAGCTGCACCACTAGTAAGTACAATAACCATTGTTCTAAGATTTTTATTTTAATTGCTGGAATTACACATGGATGGACCTTATATAGATAAGTATCAGTTTTCTTTTTATTCTTCAGAGCTGTTGGGGGAGAAAACAGAAGCAAATCTTCTTGACTTTCTTTTTTCCACTGCATATACTGTTATTTGTATTGTCAGATGCCATGCATTCCAGTAAGATTAACTATTAGATTAACGGTTACATAGAGTTTAAAAATACACTGTACTTAAATAGGATGCAGGTAAATGATAAAAAATTGATCACTAACTCACAACATCATTTACTTAATCCATCTTATTAAAAAGTATTATTTCAGCACTGCTGTTTTTAAGGAAGTAATGTACTAAATCTTCTAATTTGTTTAGGAATAGCAGAGATGTCAGTTTGATCAATTACATTCATCTACCTTTAGAAGTCTTGTTAGGCATATAGTATTCTTCGAAACACAGAAAAAACAATTTGTTGTAAGATGCATTTGCATTTCACAAATCCGTTTGCAATATACTATTTTGCACAGGTTTAAAATGAGCCTTACAGACATTCTAAGCCCTTCTGATATTGCTGCTGCTCTGCGGGACTGCCAAGGTGAGAAAACAATTAAAACTCTAAAAATCTATTACTTTGTGTAACACATGGCAAGTTTAATTCAGTCCCAAAGGAATACTGAACAAGTGCATACTGTAAACAGATTTCTGTAATCTCTTTACGTAGCTGTCACAGTATATTTGTTCATGACTGGTTTATATTGTCAGTTTGCAACTTATCCCCAAGTGATTTTTTTTTTATGTTTAGGAGGGTATGTGCAGTATGGCAAAGATAATTATTTGACAGTCTTTATCTATTGTTCATGTTTAGAACAATTAAAATGTACCAAAGCAACATCCTCAGACCATTTAGGAACAGTGAACACAGTGGTCTGGGGTTAATTTATTTATTAATTTATTTTCAGCTCCAGATTCCTTTAGTCCCAAAAAATTCTTTCAGATCAGTGGGATGTCTAAAAAGAGTAGCAGCCAGCTCAAGGAGATCTTCCGGATTCTCGACAATGATCAAAGTGGCTTTATTGAGGAAGATGAGCTCAAGTAAGGATTTTCTGTGTTAATTATTTAGAGGCTATCCAAAAATCAGCACTTTTTTCTTTCCAGAACTGTTCCATAAATGTGAGCACAAGTTATGTTAAACGTTGCTAAAATCTTCAGAAGATCGTGAAAGGTATATTTAAGTAGATAAACCCTACAAAGAAAAACAAATTAGTAAAAACCTGCCTTTAATGCTCAGTATAGAAAAAAATAACTCCTTTGGGCTGGAATTTGGTAGTGGGCAGAATCAATTGCACCAGGGCAGGACTTGCAAAGCAGAAATACATATAACTAAGATTTAGCTTGTCAAACAAAGCAGTGTTTGGAGGACTTGGCTATTGTGGTAAATAATTTATTTATAGATAGCTATCAGTTTGATTATACAGCCAGCATAAAAGAATAATATTCTGTGAAAATCATAATCAAAGTTGTTTTCTTCCTAGGTATTTCCTTCAGAGGTTTGAGTGTGGAGCCAGAGTGTTAACCACCTCAGAAACCAAGACCTTCTTGGCAGCTGCAGATCATGATGGGGATGGTAAAATTGGGGCTGAAGGTATTAACTTCTTTATATAATGAATAAGGCTCCTCAGGATGTGTTGTAAATGATAAAAAAACTCTTTTATGTTGATGGTACATTAATGTACCTCCAGTGATTTTACTGAAACCCTTGCAGTAAAAACCTGTTTAAGGGCAGAAACAGTCCCTGATCTTACAGGTTCATCTCTGCAACTCCTTTTGCACGAACAAGTTAAAAAAAAAATAAATACCTAGGCTGCCCTAAGGAACTTTCTTGTTGCCACTCACTCACAATTTCCAGTTGTTTTAAAAGGAACCACCCCTCATTTCTCCTCCCACTTACTCTGATGTAAAGCAGCACTAGCATCCCTTGTGACACAAATGTAAAATCCAGGACAAAAGAACCAGCTCTACACAGGAGAATCAACAGCATGTACATCAGTTCATTTACTGCAGTTATCTCCCAACAGAAATTCCACTAGTCAGTGAAATCTTTCACAATATGCAAGAGCTAGCAGCATGTAGTTCAGTATTTGTTTTGCATAATAAGGAGAACAGAATGATCAAGTGTCACTACCCCAACACAAGATCCCACAACAGGCTCTGCATGTGGGGATGGATACTATTTATCTTCAGTGGCAGGTTAAGGACCAGATAGGAAGGAGCAGCTGTTTTAGGAAGGAGCATATTGCACTCACCCCATGGAAATGCCAATGTGATTTAATGGCTGCTCAGTGCAGAAACCTCCTGATCTCATAATTCCGTATTTCTGTATTCCATTTTGAACAGGAAGCACACACTCACACAAAAGGCTTGCAGCCAATGGCAACTTGCCCCATGACAGAAGCAAGCTGCCTAGACGAGCATGAAAGGGGCTTAGGGAATAGCATGCAGGGAATGTGCTGCTGTGCAGATTCCCTAGCTCACTGCGCCAGGAGGACAGAACTCTTCTGTTTCTTTCTTTGGAAGGAATTAAATCCAGTTCCTTAGGAAATGTGCCAGAATAAACACACATGATTTATGAAGCAATTTATATACTCATACAGTCCTTCAGGGACAGGACTGATCAGATACTCTAACTCAGAAGCCAAACATTTGAAAGATCTTCCAAATAACAGTATCTTATTGTACAACACAATACTTCAGTATCATACCACATGGAACTGCACAATGCTTTTAGCTTTAGACTGTGCTCTAAATCAACACTTCTCAACTGCTGAAGCATTAGAAGATCAGTATTATGCAGAGAGAAAGCTAAAACTACCTTGAACATTTTATTATTCCCTATAAATGTCAGCAAAACACTGCCTTTCCATCTGTTGTTTAGAAGAGGAAGTTTAGACAATGTCTCTCTTCCATAAATTATTTCTTCTCCTCTGGTCATCTACCAGGTAATTGTTTTCTGTTCATTCCTATTCTAAATATCTTGATAAGCTACTAATCTTTTACTCCTAATAATTTCATTTTAATATTTCTACTATAAATATTCTCTTATCTTTTGCAGAATTCCAGGAAATGGTGCAGTCGTAGAGGTTCAAAAGGACCAAACAAGAAAGAACTGGGATGAATCTGCACGAGACACTCCAAAACCTTGAAAATCAGGAGACCCTTATTTATCTTGACAGTGTACATTATATGTTCATTGCCTTAGCAACATAATGAGACACTGATTAATGATTTTTTTTTTTCATTGTGTGGACCACTTACCATGTTCTAAACTCTACTTTAGCAGACACTTCCCTTAAAAATACCCAATAAAAATTTATCATATACAGTAGCTTGTGTCTGGTTTTCTGACTGGTGAACTGAAACGTGTGAATTCTTAAACTAAGTGTTAATCCCTCCAAGATCTTGATCTTATCGGACCTCCATATATGGAACATCTTTTGAAATCAGTGGGAGTTCTGTTTACAATACACCTTCTGGATTAAGCTTGAAGTTCTCAAAACACGCAGGTCTTCACCAAAGATATAGTTGTGAGGTAGGTGAGGATAAAATCTCTCACTGACTTCCAAGTGAAAAGCAGTCATATGTTTTTGTTAAGAAGTGGTTTCTGCATGAGAATGTTGCAGTTTCAAATGATTTTTTTTACATTAGCCAACTAAGAGAACAAGAAAGTAGAAACCACACGCTTTCCTGCAATAAGAATGAAAAGGAGAACTTTTGTGGACTTGAGGCTTCAGGTAACTGTGAGGCTTTAAAAAGCAGAGGGGAAGTAAAAGATATCTTCTTGGTGGTATTTTCGAGCTTTCTCAATAGGGAGGACTAAAAGTGTGGAGGAATAATTTGTAGAAGTACATATTGAGAAAGCTCCAACGTACTCTACCCAGTATTTCCAGGCTATGTCTGCTGTATTAAAAATGTCCTTCACAAAAGCATCTATCTCTGGGGATGCTGAAGAAATGTCTTTTACAAACAAACAATTCAGTCATTAGAAAAGAGAGATGTTTAGGTGCTCTGATGGAGTATTTATATATTCACTTGCTTTCTCAATATTAACAAGTGCTATACACTGCAGTTCACACATATGCAGCTTGTAGGAGTCACTAGAACACATAGAAGCCTTTTCAGCAAAGTGAATGGTTTAGTCACTGCAGTTTCAATGCATTTCTTCCTCTGCTGCAAATGACTACACTCAAAATTAACTGCAATTTTTTTCTTTTCAAAAGTCTCTATAAATACTGGTAATTGTACAGAAAAACAGCAAAACCAGAGCTGAATTGTTTATGAAATAACCAGCTATTGCTGGGAAAGAAACTAAAGAATCTGAATGCACTTGGCAAGAAGGGCCATATATCTTTCAGAACAACAAATTCACAGACAGAGTCCATATGGCTAATGCTTTGATATGCTAGGCCCTCTTCTCTCTCCCAACCTGTATTTTGCAAACCTAACAAAACAACAGTTGAAAAATTCCTGTTGGCCTCAAACATGTTCATCATCAAAGCAAAAGCAGTTAAATAAATTAAATTTCTCCTTTCCTTGGCGTGGAAAAAAGCTCATGGAGTGCCATCCTCCAAGACACCCTACACAGCTGCACCAATACAAATTCTGTAATGATTCATCCCTGAATACTCACCTCTATGTCTTTTCTGCAGCCACCTCCTCTTTTGGGAGCCAAGTACTGGAGAACCAGCCAAGAAACATCTACTGCCTTTTAAAAAAAACGTGTATATATTAATCTACAATTCTTAACAGTTGATGGTTGAAAAAAGAGGTTTTGTCCCATTTCAAAATGTTTTCAAGCAGCTTAATTTGGCATACAAGTTGTTTGTAAGCTGGTGTACTCAGCGCACCTGAGTAATATGGTCATCACATTTTTCCTTTTATTGTGCGAAAATAATACAAACTGATAAAAAATGAACATTGAATTTTAATAATCTTTCTTAACATTTTGAAATATGCTCACCCGGCATAAATCACTAGAGTAGCATTAAACAGAGCTACTCAGATTTATACAAGCTGAGGATCTGACCCATGAGGATCTGACCCATGGAGGTTTTCATAGCGTAAGATGGATGTCACAAGATACTCACAAGGAATAAAGTGTGTTCTTGGCAATGAAACCAGTCTGATGACAGAAGGGTCTTGGGACTAGTTCACATGTAAGTAACAAACAAATCACTCTCTATGTCACTGACAATTAAGTGTCCTGACCTTGACTAATCATATTACATCAGGCAGGCAAATGCATGCAAAATAAAGAATTTTCCAGTTGCTGTTGCACTCTGACCTCTAGTTCCTCTCAATGCCTCAGCCTTTGCACCGTGGACCTAGAAAAAGAAACCCAGAAGCAAAGTACAAATTCTGTTATTCTCCACTAAGATGCAACACACTGCTGGAGCAGGTCACTGGACAGAGGGTGAACAGAAGATCCGTGCAGTGCCTGGCCTACAACGCATTTATGAGTGAAGTTAGCATTTTCTTAACTTCCCAGAAAGAATTGTATACCTCGGCGGTCTGCATTTGAAGTTCCTGTAAAACACATGAACTACAAAATGTACCTAGGCCCAATCAAGAGGCAAGGAAGAAAAAGACAAGGAAAGCATTTCTTGGCCTAACACGTATCTTTTTAACTAGTTTTTATGTAAAGGTTTTAGAAAAATCTTGTTCATCATTACTAACTCAAAACATGACTCAATGGTGTTTATAGCTTATTATTGTATACAAGTTGTGCATTACAACACCAAACAGAAAAAATACAACCAACTTACTCTACTTGAGATATTTTGAGACCTCTCTAACATCCAAAGTATTACAGTTAAAGGAACCTTTCCATGCATTTCCATCAGGAAAAAAGTACCTTAAAAAATATTAATAGTAAAGCAGCTACTCCAGTAGATTACTGTTCTCTGTGGGAGAAAATTTTAAGTAAAGGAAAACTTGTAGGATTTCTGAAGTGGAAGAAACTTATAAAGTTAAAACAACTTGCCATTTCCCTGGAATCCTTGAAATGGTAAATCATACTTTTGAATGCTCTTGTGAAACACATGATAGTGATAACTCAAAATGGATTTATTTGCTGACAGAGATACCTGTCTGCTCCATGGCCTGAAACAAAATGCCATCAGTAAGCCTCCAGCTAGAGACTTGGTATGCAGAAATCCAATTGTTTCAAGCAGGGACTTGTAATTGAGAAAGCTCCTGGACAGGGCTTTATTGGCTGACAAGGAAGGAAAAACTAAAGATATTTACCATATTTAACCATCATTTAACATGTGGATATGGGACCTCACTGAAGGGAATGAGCAGCCACTTTCTATAACCATATATTTAATGAATGGGATGGAAATAAGGACTGCATTAATAAACTGTTTGCTACAAAGATTTGACATGAGAGGCAGCATTCAGAAACCAGTTACTACTGCCAATCATGCTTACAGATTGCAACAAAAGTTGCAACTAGTTATCAGAATGACCATTTGTACATTGTATACTAAAATTATGCACTACACACAACTATAGAAATACATCTTTAGAAAACACCAGAATACTTGTGATTACGTTAAAATAGAGGTCTCCAGAGTTCCATTTCATGTTCATATTATTTACCCCATAATACGTTGTGCCATGTTACCCTGCCTGTGAATAGCTAAAATATAAAAGAATAAACAGCGGCTTTATTCAACCTCTAAGCATAAAAAACACCATGCCTTAAATATGTCAAACCATGACATAATTCTTCATATAATTCTCTCTCTCATTTCTTGCTGTGATCAGCAGGGAAATAAATAACATGCTACTGTAATTCATCTTCAGAGATGAAAATGTTTTAACTGTCTAGCCCCTTCCTCATCCTCTCTTCCCAGCTTTTCTTTCACATGTACTACAGATCCAAGCTAGTAACAAAAAATTGAATATCTCAAGCTTTGCATGAAAGCAGTTTTTAATTGTTATTCTGTCACTTTGTATCCTTGATCATAACCAAAGCTAGTGTAAAGTTACTACTGTCCTTTACGAATTTTCTGATTCTGCAAAGCAAATACATCCATTATTAAGCCATCTCTACTCACCATGACACTCAGTTGCTCACATTCCATGACATCACACTAAGAAGAAATCTAGGGGAGATGAATGTAACTCTTAGCAAGACCCCTATACCTAGCTGTAGTGCTGTATTTTCACATAGAGCTACAAAGGCCTGTCACAGTATTAACAAAGCGTGCAGACCAGGGATACACAGGCATTGTGCTTTTTGCTGGATCACAGCACTATTTTGTAATTTATTTGCTAAACTAATCCCAAAGTGCTGAGTCTACACATTTGTTAACACATTTAGACCACATACTGTCAATGGAACAGCTATTTGAGCTGTCAGCTGTATTTATTTACAGCTGTCAGCTCTAACACCCAGAGTGATTTATAGTATACCTTTTTGTTAAGTCTGCTACTATGCAGCTGACGGAAATGCTCAAAATAGTACCTAGAAATAGGCTCAACAAACCAAAAAGTATGACTTTTCTTACTTCTACCTATTTTTTTTAGACAATTGGTAATCACTTATAAAGTTGTTATTTGTCTCTTGATGCAGGGGTTGTCCTGTCAAATTCCCAATGTACTTATGCAGCAGTTTAATTTTACATAATCATGGGCTAGGAATCACATTTCAAACTCTGGGTGATCTGATGCCACTTTGCAAATGTCAAGGTGTGGTGTTACTGCACATACAATTAAGAAGATGGGATGAAACTGGAACCACAATCGAAGTTTCTTCCTGCCCTGTTAATTTTTACATTAGAAAAGTAATAATTTAATTGAATCTGTTATCACTTATTCTTTGTAGATTCTCATAAATACTTCCACCAAAAGCGATATCAAGTTACAGATGAGGTTGCACTGAGCAGAACCATATTTTAACAATCTCTACACATACATTAGTTCCTTTCCTGGGGAAAGTTTGGCATGGAAACAACTTTCTTAGCAATCACCAATTACAGTAAGTATCCACTGTTCAACCACATATGCCTCCACAATATATCCCTTGCAACAGTATTTGTATTACAGCAGTAAATAAGCACCCTAGTCATAGA